TAACCTTCTTCAAGGTGAACTGGGTTGATCTTTGAAGTTCGTTTAATTGCAGAATTTGAAGCAAAGAGGTGTACTTCTGGTCCATGCTACTAGTAAAGTAGTTTTTTGACAACAGGCTTGTCCAGTCCATGCAAAGTTTGTATCCTTTGTTTGGGTTGACATTTTCGCAGGATTGGGTTGGACATAATTAATGCCTCTTTGATGCATCTGTTCAGCCAGTTTCTTTCTTCAATAACGTGAGTTAGACAATTGGGGGACGTTGGTACTGGTTAATCACCTGACTGAACAATTTCTTTGCGTTGTGTAGAATAAGCCGTTTATACATGTTGCAGTATGATTGCCAATGCACACATGAAATACTCAGTTTTTAAAACTCAGTTTTTACATTCAGTTTTCATGCATCTAATTGCTAATTTCGAAACAGGCTTGTTTCTTACAGGTAAAAAGCGAAGAATGGGTCTAACTTAGCAGAGAAACTCAGAAATTTAGCATAACAACAAAAAGGGAGGAAAACGAGCCATTGCTAGTTTTAAACTCGTACTCGGAAGAATCAATAGTCTTAAAATTAACGTAAGTACCCATTAAAAAAATTCAGAAAATCACAAAGCACGTCATTGCCAAATTCTATTACTCTTCTCATTTTGAAACACAAACAGTGCTTAACCAAAAATAATTTTTAGGTTGGTGGCATCAGCCTTTGAGACCATCCGTAAAGATCTGACACCTTTGAAGCTTATAAGCATTTTCAGTCCGTACCCAGAGATGCTGGACGGTTCGCCGTGGCTATCAGCACCAGAGATCAGTCTGATCGTTATTTCGTCGATAGTTATATCGCTCACCTGTGCCATGTTGTGTCTGTTCATTCGTTGGTGCAAACGGTAAGTACTGTTTGCTTGGTCGTAGCTCTTCACACATATCTCTGGGGTTTAGAAAAGAGGCGAAGCGGATTTCACGGGAGTATATGATCGACACAAATCCTTATGGAACCGAAGCGTACGAGGAGAAACATCTTCGTGGCATGTACTGGAATTCGAACGAAAGTAGCTGACACGTTTGTAGTATCTTTGGGCCGCACGATAACCATCGGTGGATCAATCGCGGCCTTCGGTCCCGCAGTGTTCACTGTTGTTGTCGTGAACCATTCCATGGTGCCCGCGAACGACGGCTGGAATGGCAGCTTTTACGCAATGACGTGCCTATCATGCCCTACACAGGACTTCGCTAGAAGCGTCATTTCAGGGGTACAGTCAGTACGTCGCACAGAAAATGTCAGAATGTATTTCATACACCACTAATATATGGTACCACAGTAAAACATGTAGCATTCAGCCGGTTCATACGTTGTTAATAATAACGATAGGATAAAACTTTTTTGCATCAAACAGCCGTTGATTATTTTAAAGTGAAGCATTTTGGCTTTATGGGAGTTCTGCTAATTAAAATTTCTACAGAACAGTTCCAGACATTATTCACTGTTAACAACGATGGCGATCTGAAAGATGAAGCATTGGCTATATTATTATTTTGGTAAATATGCCCATGCATATTTTGGTGATGAAAACGCATGTGCAACCAATGCAAGTGAAAGATGGGGTGCTATTACCAACTTGATAAGAAAGCTTGGAATGACGTAATGAGTGGTGGAGATTAAACTCTAAAGTTTAGGAATATGATAGCAAAAACTTTATAAATAATGATATTGGATTTACAAGACGAAAACCTACCGTGTAAAGAAAGAAAATTTTAAATCGAAAATAACCCGGTGTTCAACGGTAGACCCCATATGTAAAGTTTTCGATACTGCTGAGCATATATAATGTTTAAAATACACAGATACCGGATTGAAATGCGGAAAACGTAGTTCCACGAAAGAAGTTTCTTTCTTTACACCCATACTGCCGTCGTGTAATACAGATGAATATCGTACACTAGGAATAATGCACCGCCCCCTTGCTTATTGCAGCTTAGGATGACCGTTTAAGCAGGCGACAGCTCCACGGTATTGGTAAATGCCTGCAGTGCATAGGGCGCAAGACCGCGTTTCCTAAAATGGCCCAACACAGGCATATACCAATGTTCTCATATAACGCTAATCATTTGGTATGTATTCCATAACAGGGTGTTTCGATACTGGCACCGATATATAATATTAAAATTATACTAAAATCAACAGCCGGCACATTTTTGGTGAAAGAATTACATAAGACTTATCCATCTGACATTCCACCAAATGCATTTTCAGATGGATACATTTTACCACCATAAAAACTTCGCCTCGATCAGGAACGCTGTTCATTCATTCATTCATCTTTCATCGCTGCTTCTCCTTTCGGGTCGCTGAGGCAGACACGTCAGACAGAGCTTCCACCGTTCCCGATTCTGTGCCAGAGTCTGAGCTTTGGCAAAAGACAAATGGAGTCTGGAACAGACATTTTCCATGTATTTGCACCAGGTTAATCTTGGCCGTCCTCTGGGCCTTCTGCCGGTCGGATTCGCAAGAAACAGCTGCTTAGCCCTGTTAAACGCAACATTAGTTAAACGCCTAATAAAAAGCGTTCTGCCAGCACGACTTACACTGAGCAACGAAACACTGCCTAAATTAGTGGGGATAAAGGCAGGTGAAATAGGCACAAATTTGCATTTCAATAGCTAATGACGCGCCACATTAGCAATATACATATATATACACAATTAATTATGGCAACAGTATACATATAATGCACAGCACCAGACAAGACATAAAAATGAGATAATGAAAAAGGGCATAAGAATGGTGAAGAACAGAACTGGTGGATATGAAATTAATGCAGAATAATATGCATAGTTGAACATACAGAATCGATTCAAGCAGATTTTTCCCTTCCGGTTTCTCGTTCTTACAGTCTGAACGATATATAAATAAGTGATTTTCTGTATGCTTCAGTCTTCACGTGGATATATTCAGATATAACTTGTGGAATCAGACTTCAAAAAGCATTTTGAAAGTGACTGGTGAAGGGGATGGAGAGAATCGGCTAGAATAAATTTACCAATATCTACAATCCATCTTAAAATCTGATCTACCACGATATCCTGACATTCATATAGGACAGTTGAGCTGCTCTGTAGACAATTTTCACAACGGATCAAATCTGCGTAGCTCCACTTAACGAACGGAGAAGAAGCATATGTAATTATGCAGGTTCTTAGAAACAGTTCCATCCATGATTTGTTCGGAGGGTTTGCATGAGGTTGGAAGTAGCTGTAAAAATACCATTCTCGCCGCACTTTGATGGTTACTTTCGCTGACTGTACACTGAAGTGTTTTGTCTATGGTGACATTTAGATAATTTGTGCCGAGAACGCTATTTATGCTTTCGCTCTATTGAAAAATAGAAAAAAATTCAACTGTTTACTCTATTACACAAATACTTGTCGAGCCGGAATAAACACATCTTGGTTTTGATATGATTAATGAACAAGTTGTTTTTCCAGAACAAATCCTAGGCTGAAGTGACCCCGAAAAAATACCTTGCGAGATGAACTAACTGCAGACAGTAGAAAGTTGTCATTAATATATTTCATGTATTAATGTTCCGAAAGTTGACTTCACATACATTGTTGCATATTGCTAAGAGAAACAGAAAGACATGGCCGCAGACTTCATAAGTTGATTCATAAACTATACAGTCTGTATCGGTTAATCCTTGAAAACTCAGTGCGGCTTAAGAGCAAGGTTTTTGCCAATCGGTGTAATGTCAAGGATTAATATCGAGAAAACAAGGAACCGCTAAAAGAAGCCAATTTCAGTTACAGTAGATTAGAATATATTAGAATAAACATGGATTCAGTAAGCTAGGAATAAAATAATGTTAAATAGCAATGGATTACGCCACCGCTTAGGACAACGTAATTCGAGAAAAACTTGGTAAATTACTGTATGAACAATTAAAGGTTCAACAACACTGCATTTGACCAGTATATATTCATTCGCAATTTTTGAATTACGGTAATTTGACCAACAGGTAACGTATGCGTATCAACATACTTTTAACGAATGATGTTCATGCATGAAAGTCAATACAAATATCATCCTATCTGAAATAGCACAACATAGATGGGTGGATAATATTGACGTCACTATCTATGCTTTGTTTGAATGTCGGAGTTTTTCACACTGATGAACTAATGAATTTAAGAAAATTGGTGGTGAAATCCATGAAATTAAGGTAAATATGAAGGAAGCGAAAACAAAGACAAAAACCAAAATGTGAGTTTTGACAATATTGCACCTGGTGGCCAATGACAAAATCGTAAAGGTTATGAGCAACTGGGAACTCACTGTAGAAGCGATTGGTTCATATTGATGCAATTGAGCAGTGAATCAATTTAGTAAAAAGCTTACTTCATTGCTTTAGTAAAGGCCTCCTATAAGCAGCTTCAAGTCAACGTTCCAACAATTCTAAGAGTATGATACCCAATGGTATTCAAAGAAGGATTTTAATATTTGTCGTAACCTGCTGTGAACATCTAGAATCTGCGAGAGGAGGGGCACTCTTCATAAATTCAGTCTCAAATTTATAAATTTAATATTCAGAAAGATTTCAAAGGAACGACAGTGAAAGCAAAGATATCAGCGACACAATAATACTTTCACTGATTTTGAATAATTCACCGATATTTATCTATGCTCACCTCCATGAACTTGGTGCACCGAAGCTAGCACGTCGAGAGGAGCTGAGGCCATATTCATCTTTCTGATAGTCTTTTTTAGGTTACTGTTTCTTCTCTAGACTCGATTCTGTAACAAATGTGGTGGGCAGTAGGTCTTGTGCAACTGAAAAATGGTAGACATCTGATTGTTTAATTCTGACGCATTACTTATACAGCTTTAAAATTTCATATTCACTCTGCTACGGTAGACTGAAAAGAAGGTTATAAAATAATTTAATTTATGGCGATGAATCTTTGAACAATTCATGGTTCGGGGCACCAAATCCAACAGATGGAAAAAGTCTTTAATGCCAACGCGTTTCACTACAACAACTGTAGCATCATCAGGGCTATACTGAACACAAAT